TGGGAGCATAACCTCAGAACCTAAGGAAAAAATGCTTGAAGCCGGTCACGCACGGTCCTTATATGGGGGATTTTTGACGTGTTACTTCCGTTCTTCAAAGGGCCTCACCGCCGGAGACGGTAATCCGTGAGGTAAGGTGTGACATTTTTAGGGTCGACCTTTTCTAACCCGTTTCTTCCTTGTGAAAAGACAGTGTCTCTTCAGATGCTGGTTGTTCGAGGGAAATACATTACTGCTGTCACATCCTTTTACTGTCAGTAGGACAACGTCGTCCTCAGATATCGAGTCGCTGCTTTAAGGCTTACCGTTCTCCAATCGACCTGCCTAGCATGGTAGAATCTACAGGAACATATGTCCCAGCCAATATAGTTCGTTTGGGTCATCACCATATTCAAGCCCGACCACCACGTCAAGGTAGCAGCCGCGGTCGGGGGATATTAGAATACAACTCAACGAAGCGAACTTCGTAGATTACTTGGTTCTTCTATCCTGCAAACGGACAGCAACGAAATATGGATGAAGAAAGCCAGGGTTCCAGTGGCATCGAGAGGAGGCCTTAGAACCTACAGTTAAACACAGTGGGGAGTAACCAAATCACACTTGCTGAAGAGGATCTGAATGAGATGGAAGCCCTCACTTTCCTGTACAGCATCAGTGGTAAACACGAAAGACTTAATAAAGGTATCATGATACGAATCAGGAAAGCGAGCACAACATCCCTACAATTGGAATTAAAAAAAACTATCGATCAACACCAAAGTCAAGGTTCTTAACACTAACGTTGATCAATCCTACGTTATGGGACTGAAAGTAGATAACTATCACGACTGTCACTAAGGAGGTGCAAGTAATAATAAACATTCGCTAGTGCAAGGTACTCTAGGTCTATTAAGTATGGATTATCAGCAATAACCAACTGTAGTAGAAAATATACTATCTTAGAGTTGATAAGCGAATTAAGAATATACGGTGGAAGTGGGTAGGTCAAAGTTTAGGGAAATGATCGAAAGGCAAAACCAAACTTGGGATAGTTATGGTATAACAAAAGACTCAGACCAAAGACCGAATTGAGTCGGTAATCGGAGGCAGAATTCAAGAGCGTGTATAAGTTAAAAGGAGCTCTCATGACATAGTTGGTTGGAGATCTCTGTCTACGGCCTATTCCTTCCAAAGGGTAATGGGTTAAAGTAAGAAAATTAGAGACATCATGTAAGAAGTCCTCAATAAATGATCAATTATTGGTATATCGATGGAATTAGTTTAACAAAGTAGGTCTTCTCTACTAACAAGCAGCTTGTTCATGGATTTCGAGTTGATATTGATGAGACATAAGAATTATGATATATGTCCCATACATGTTGTAATGTCCTGTGATTTTAGGAAATTTTTCTACTTTAATACTCAAAGAGTTTCATCGACCACTCATTAATGCTGTCTAAAAATTTACCAAACCAAACCAATCCAATATTTATATCTACGTAACTGCGTGTAAATAAATTGTTCGCAAATTACCCAGATTTAAGACAGTCATAAGTGTGCGATTTTTGGAAATCCTTGAATGTCTGGCTAACGGACATTAAAACTGATGTAAGAGTTCCCACACATCCTGAAATATTTTCGAAAGAATATTTTAAGTAGAATTAATTTAAATTTCTTCATAATGGTTTTCAGGAACAGCATATGAAGTTAACGATTTGAAAATATACTACTCATAAGTAATACAGCTGTGTTAATAAAAATTGTTGAGTACCATATCTCACATTCGGAGTGACAAAATTGAACGGTCTGTTTATTTGTAGTATGTATTGTGATAAAAAAAACCCTAAAAGTGTTACACGATTCGTGGATTTACACGTATAGTACAGCGATGGGTTGGAACAAATTTATTATAGTCTTGTGAAATTGAACGTTCAATTTGCAAAACAACCATGTTCGTCTTTCTTACAGAATGGAGTTGCTAACGCCACCCCCAATCGTCCTTTATTCAGACTTGTGACTGTCAGAAACTCTGAAAAAGACTATAAGTGAAGTTGCAGTGTCCCATGACGGATATGATTTATTAAGTTTGCATAAGATAAATAATAAATGACAGATAAAGATCCCACTAAGGAGAAGTTCAATGAAGAAAATTCCGAAAACTTAGCGAGAAAGTACTTTAGCCCGTCAAGCTTGAAGTTAAACAGTAAAGATTTTTTTCATTCCAATCTTCTTATAAGCCATCCCTGGGAAAGTTGGCAGAGATGTTTAATATCGAATTAGTAGTAGGAAATAAAGATCACTTCAGGTGAAAAACTGGTTAATATTACCAATCAATAAATAAATCCCTCTTCAAAACAGAATTAGTACAGAAACAAATTAGTGTTTGAAAAAAACAATTTGTAAACCAATAAAAACCAAGTGAAAAACTTGACATTGTGCTGTTTAGTAAGTCTGCATTTAAATTAATATTGGTTTTGAGGAATGAAGTTAATTAAAATAAAAGTCAAAAATTAAAAAAATCAGAAGCTATTGATAAAAATGACTATTCTATATACTGCAGCCTGACTACGATTGCAATATAGTTACTTTAAATCAATCTCTAGATATTGTCTTAACTATTTGTTCACCTAATAATGTAATATAATTATCACATGTATCGAGAACTTATCAACTATTTATAAGTTATTCATAAACACAGTGGATATAATGGGATTGAATTTGTCATCATAGGAAGTCGTGCGGACTTCTAAATTTGAATTAGCTTTTAGAAAGGCTGCGAATGATCGAGCTGTGTTACCTTCTTTTAGTAAGATGTATTTCTGATGCACAAGCTATTCCTCGACAACTTTAATTCCATATTACCAGGCTAATCTTTGCTATTATTATACTGGGTGTATTCTCTATTTTGCTGTATCCTTATACGCTCATAACAACATTGTTGCTACTTTTAAAAGCAAACTGCCGCACTACAATTTAGCTTCCCGAAAATAGAAAAGTTCGCTAATACAGAAAGGTTGTTTAGTTTTAGTTGTTATCCTAAAATTGAGCGACTTATAATATGACCATGGAAAAACTTGACGCGTCATTGAGCAGTAGATATGAACGAATAATATATTAAAGCGACAAGTACATTGTTTTTACGTGATTAACTTTCCTAAGTTTGTGATAGGTTCTTGACCGTCAGAGTTTTGTGTCAATTTATATATACCCTAACCCATGATTCAAACTATAAACTATACTACTGATCGTATCCAAACTCTAACAAAAACAGCAGAGAAATATCACCCCATCCAGAATTTTGTGTCACACACAATTGCCATTTTTATATTTACCGGCGAATATTGTCCTCAGCAGTTCAATGTGGATTGAAGTATTTAATAATGTTCTCTGTACTAGAATTTCTTCATTATACGGCTAACATTCTGACATAACATCGTTCGATAATTGTCATTCTAGTTTGACTTTGAAATCATCTTTTCGATCTTAATCGGCTTGGTGTTATAATTAAATATAACCCAATCACCTCTTTAATTTCGATTTTGGGAGGAATATTAGAGTGCCGCTGTCGTTATGTGGTAGGAGCAACTAGTAATCAAGAATAGAAGGGATGAACTTTACTCACTTTTATTAGGATGGAAGTAAGACAATAACAATTTCGAAACACGAAATGACTGTTAGATATCGAAAACTAGGGAGTATTATGTAGGTTTTGCGTCTTAATTTGGGACTCCTTGACGGCATTCACTCGTGATTTCTCCAGAGACCGAAATCAAGATGTTCGGGAACCGAGGCAAATGCTTAGAATTCTGACCACTAATTTGGCATACAGTGGTTAGTATTCCTAACTTCACTGAATTCGTGATGTTGCACAATCATCAGTTTATAAAATGAAGATTAACTTCCGTTATACATACAATTGGATCTCTAGAGCTTATACTCGGATTTGTTTTTCTGAGTGTCTTTTGATTGAAAAGATAACATAAAAATTAATTTACTTAGTATTGTTTGTTTGGATCGTCCCATCGATTTGTTAGGACTGCAACTGGCCAGTCTCTAATTGGCATATGGCCTCGATATAGCCTAAATTCACAAGCATGGTAAGCAAAGATGGATAGTGGCTAGCAGGGGAATCCAGGACGCGCGCTTCATCCTATTTGGGACTCGTCAGCTGGATGTACCTGCATCTGAATTGATGTTCACTCTGGAACTCGAACCCAGTACCTTTCGCTCCAAACGCCATCGCGTTATCCACTGGGTCCTGATAGCCACTTGCTTGTGCAGTGGAGTGAAGTTGAAATTTACTTAGTATTGTTTGTTTGGATCTTCCCATTGATGTTTTTAGGACTGCAACTGTTGTAATGACATTACTGAACAGGAATGCTTTATGATAAGTCTTCTGATTGAAAGCTAGATCCGGTTTCCTAAGCTATCTATTAACTCCTAGGCTAATTCTACATAGCGACTTGAACACGAGAAAAAACGTGCGAAATATGAAAAAATGCTTTACTCCAAGGTTCATTTATGTACAGAAAATCTAGGGTTTTTATAATATTTCAGATGGTTTTGGGTTCCCGGAGAATTCTGGAATGCCACTGAACATAGTAGCAGCACAGATAATAATTCAATCAGAAACTCGACATGTGATTTTTCACTTTCTAGATGTTTCTGGCAAAAATTCTATTAAATGCTGATAGGATAAGTTGCTTCTCACCGTTTTCAGAGCTTTTTTTCGAGGAGTCTTCTGGATCTTCCTACCACTTTAGCAACACACTTGTACTCAAATTTTCATTCACACATTCGACTATGATCCACACTTGTCTTGTGAGTGATAATGGTTGCATCTTTATGCCTAAACTAAGACAAATGAAGCTGGAACTAACCAAATCTTTTGGATTCAGTTGCACAGAATAATGAGATACAATCTCACCATGATATATATGATGGAGAATAACTATAAGAACCATTTGTGAACATCCTGATACATATAGATAAACATACACACTTAAGTATCATAAATCCGACTGAATTAACATGCAACCATTCATTTACGAACACCGTAAAACGCGACAGACGTATGTATCGGTTGTCAACTTACATCAAATCAGGAGAAATTACAAAATGTCTAAATAAAGATACGTATGATAATAGTAAGCTAAGAAACAGTAAAAGGAATCAAACACAGGGTTTAGAGGGCTTCAAGTATTTTTTTTTACGCCAGACTGACACCATAAATTGGCTTGGCTGTCTCAAACCTCTTACTCAAATGAATACAACGTACTTGAAATATTGGTATTGTGATTAGACAAGTTGGGATACAATTAATGGGTTAAAAGTTTTAATCTCGTTTCATCTACTTCAGTTTATGAAGCCGCGTAGTATTGTCATCCTTGACAGAAAACGTGGTTAAAACCCCACTTCATAAAATCCTGTACTTCGCAGATGAGTTACACAACATATTGAGGTAGGAATTAGTTATATATGGGTAGCGTAAGCTTTAACTATTTACGTCGGTGAAGGTTTAATGTTGAGTCGAATCCAAATAAAGTATATTGTGAAACACGTTAAAAATAATCTAATTCTGTTTGGGTACAATTTATACTTTTGAGTAATCCATACCAAAACATCATAGTTATTTCATCACTGACGACATACCCATATCACAGAATTTGAACATACGAAAATACTTTTAAAATTTTCGGCTACATACAATATTATGAAGACACCATATGCAGTAAAATAAAAGTCATAATAAGAATTGATTTTTTTTATAAAATTTAACTGGCATTGAACAAATTTAGAGTTGAAATAAGAATGCAAACCATTAAAGATATCCTACTACTTAGAGCATTTATACAGTTAAAAATAAAAGATTACAACTAGAAACTATTGGCGAGATGATTTAGGTTGTGCTACATCAGTAAAAGCTGTTTTTAACATAGATTGAATTGTAGTCAATTTTTCTCTTGGTTTATCGAGTATTTGACCGGCTAATTTTTCCGCTTCATCAATACGTTCCCAATTTTTAAACTTTACAACATGTACATCTACATTAATTGGAGAAAAAAACAATGATAACACATTGAAAAATTTGTTAGACTGTGACCGAATAAATTCTATTCAATAAATTATTAAATCTAGGTTTATGTAATTAGCTTTAAGGAATACATTTTTTATTAGTGAGGAATATACTTCTGTGGTGGTCTTATCAGATTTAAATCAACAGCTTGCAGGTTCAAACTGGACACCATCAAATTCGGTTTGGGCACAAAAATACTACTGACCCCCACACAATTCTTGTGTAACTGGAAGTCGAGCAAACAAACTTGTAGACAGTTAACGGATTATTCACAAGATTTTCTTTGATAATTTTAATGGATGAGTATAGGCTTGTAGAGATTCACTTGTAACTTTCTATTATGTTCTTTACAAAAATAAAGCCTCAAAATGAGTGAGTTTCGCCCTAATTATATATTCATACAGCAAATTTCTCATATAAAATATATCATTCATTTATAACTATTTCTTTGTTAATTATATTGTTGTGGCGTAAATCTGATTTCGTCTATACTCGTATATAATTAATGACTTTATCCGCGTTAGTGAATAACGGAGTTAAATAAGTCAAATACGAGAATGGAATTAGGATACATATATTTTCTACAGTCATTGATCTGACCAGAGAATCAGAGTGATGAAGCGAATAAAAGCGAAAGATCATGTGCAATGGAGATGGCTGGGAAGCCAACTCGATTTAAGCAAGCGTTAATCAACATTTATAGTCGGAAAAAAATGAATGACAGACATGTGATAGGTAGGATAAGAAGGGTACATACAAATGCGCTCATATAACAAGGTAGTCAAGGTTAGTAAGCGAATAATTAACAAGAACAAAATATGACTCATAATGAATAGGCGAATTGGCTTGGCCAGCAACTAGAATAAAGTATATGGGCTTAACATAAACACCGATACTACAATATGATCTACTTCATTCTACTAATTCGTAATAGTGATATGTTTCGTGAGGGTTATTTATCAGTGTGATATTTTTTTAAACTTTGCCACGAATAAATAAATGCATAATAATGGATACTTAGTGAAAAAGAATTTCATCGTTTTTCATTACGACGAACAATAGGTTGATATATTTGTTGACTTTTCCTACACTAATTAAGTAAATGTTTAAGTCAATCAATAATGAGATATTCGCATGTATACTGGTCAATAAATCATACATTTTCTGTACAAAGCTATTATCACTAGCTGAATGTTCAAACATAATTAAACGGGACATATTCGAACATGAAAGTCAAAAGATAAAAACTGAATGTCCTAACCTCTAAGCTAATTATTGCTTGGTGGTATCAGATTTCACTGAATAAACATGATCTGAAGATACAAATAGTAAGATAGTTCATTAAAAGTGGATCCTAAGGAACTGGTAGGACACAAGTATAGAAAAAAAATCAGAGAATATATGGTTCTACAAATTATGGCGCATATTTCCGTGAAAACAAAATTATTCTAATGATAAAAAGAAAACTAAATATGAGTTTTGTGATGAATCTTACCAGTAACTTATCACATGTGAAATGCTACTGAGTATAACGTAAAATCTATTAGAAAGTACATATAATAAGATATTTGTTTTAATGAACCAATTGTATTCACGTTTGCGAAATTCGTCAATAACCGTCGACGAATCATAAACATGTAGTAATACGGTAATTAAGCGAAAAGTGTAGATACTAATCAATGAGTTGTAAGTGTACAAGAAATTGAGAACATTGACTGGTCAAGTGATTGGGAAGTGAGTTAGAAGACACAAATTACAACCACCTACCTGCATGTAAATGCCCAGGTAGGCAGCTTAAATCAAACAGAAAGACATTTATGTGGGTGTTTTAGTATCCCGGCTCAACGAACCGATAATGGTGATCGTCTGTTGCAACTATGCTCAGACAATCGTTTATTTTTAGCAAACACTAACTTTAAACATAAGGAGAGACATCGCCTAACATGGCGACCACCTGCACCAAACCAACGAAGGACTCAAATAGACCATATTGCCATCAGTCATCGTTGGAGAGGCTCGATAGAAGATTGTTGCTCGTATTGGAATACTTGTTTAGACTCTGAACACGCTTCAATACGAGCACGCATTTGTCTGCGCCTCACTGGACGCAGGAAAACTACACTAAGAAGACCCATTAGGATTGAACTGGAGGACGAGAAATCCAAATGTAAATTCCAAGAACAACTGAGTTCACATCTAGGCAGTTCTGTAAACGAGACTGACCCAGATGCTGCTTGGAAAGACATACGAACAGCTGTGGAAACAGCAGTAACATCTATTAGTAATTTAAACCATAGGGTTCCAAAAAACCAATGGATTTCTTCCAAGTCTATTTCACTGATGGATTTGCGTAAATTCATCCCATCAGGCTCTTAACACGACGAAGAGCGTAAACAAATCAAATGTAGGTTGACTTAAAGTCTAAGGAACGATCGTGAGCAGTGGAAAAGGCAGCGGCTGTAGGCAACACCAGACAACTCTTCAGACTAATAAAAGAAACCGGAATTAGTAAGTCAAGTGTAAGTGAAACGATCTCGGAAAAAGACGGAACCCTTATCTGCTCTCAGCCCAGACGTTTAGAACGATGGGCAGAACACTTTAAGAAGCAGTTCAGCTGGCCTTCAGCTACTGAACAACTACCCATTATTCCCAGACAGCCTAAGTCTAATCAGCCCTAATGGGTTGGCGTCTGACGAAATCTCAGCACGGATTCAAAAAGCTCGTTTGGCTTTTGCCAACTTACGCCACCTATGGCGAAGACGAGATATCCGTCTATCAATTAAGAGACGAGTATACCGTGCAGCAGTTCGTTCTGTTTTACTCTATGGCTGCGAAAGTTACTAGTATTTGACCACAGATGCCTTAGAAATATTGCTCGCATCTGCTGGGACCACCGGGTAAGTAATAGTGAGGTTCGACGCAGGGTATTAGGGAATGATGGTAAATCAGTTGATGTATCTTCATCGACTGAAATGGTTAGGCCACGTGTTACGTATGCCTGAACACCGATTACTACGACGCGCTATGCTGACTAGTGTAGGGGATGGTTGGAAAAGAGTTAGAGGCGGCCAAACCAAAACGTGGCATCAGTGCTTGAAGTCACTAACTTCTAGTCTGAGCCATGTTGGTAGATGCAGACTACCTGGTTGGGGTCCGCGTGACTATCGTAACCAATGGTTGGAGACTCTAGATGACATGGCTCAGAATCGATCACAATGGCGTAGATGTATACACTCTTTATCTTCCCTTAAACCTTGAGATTAAAGTTGCTTCATAACGTTCTTCCTTACTATACTATATCCTTACATACAGCCTATCTTTTATATACTACCACCACTAAATTAACTATTTCTATGAATCCAGTGTTCATCTTTTTGTGCTAACGAGATATGGCAACTTGGACCGATGCATATGTGTGCCTGGTCCTACGTTGTAGCTGACTGACTGATGTAAAATTTCGACTGGTTTGAAGAAATAAACTGGAATCCGATTTACAGTAACTAAATCAATATAACGTTTTGACCTACAAATGTATTGGTTGATGACTTTAATTAATGTAGTATAAACTCGTGACAGAAGGCTTTACAAACCAAATACATGGCTTGACATTTATGGTTAAAAGATAAATACATGTCCAGTACTTTTTCCAACCCAACCTGTGGTAACTTTATTTTTTAAAATGTTGGTTTTCTCTTAATAATATATAATGCTAAGGATTAGGTTGAAAGCGAGAATCTCATTTAACTCAACTGAGTCACAGCAGTGGATAATGGTATAATCAAATAACCTATAGAGAAATTGTAACTTAAAACAAAGTATGTGGACTTGGAGACTTGGTTACTGAGTATCATTAATGTGAATAATCAGTGTAATAATATAAGCAGTGGTTAAATGTTCCATGTGAGCCTATAATTGGTCTAAATATGTAATCAGTAGGTAAAAAGAGGTATAGAGTGAAACATTAAACTTAACCAATGGTATTTGTTAATTTTCTCACATAACATCATATGTAAAAAATACATCATAAGTATGGTTAAAAGACGAAAACTAACTTCTTTCGTTAAGGTAACGTTGGACTACAGAGAGTCCACGTTTGTTTAATACATCTACATGACCGCGTCTTTCAAATTCAGACAAATCCATGAGAATAGTTTCAGCGGTTTGACGAGCATCTACAGCTGTATCGACGATTACACCACTTGGACCGCGTTTAATCCAACCAGTACAATACATTGGACTTAAGGAGAAATTGTATGAAATTTGTGGTAGATCAACTACGCGTCCATTGTTATCTTTGCAAAGAATCACTCCATTTTTTTCATCGAACGGCAAATCTGGATCAATACGGACACCACAGTAGCCAATACTACGTACAACTAAACCACAAGGTAAAGTTTCTAAGGGTTGATTATCGTCTATTATACCTTGCTGATGAGGACTAGCCGGACCCTAAGATAAAAATAAAAGATGTGGTATGATTTGTCTTAAATCAGATGTATCATTTCATTAAATAAAGGCAAAATAATTTACCTCCAACTGACTAAGACGATGGAAATTGATCAGTGTTTTTCAACCTCGAAAGTAAGGCTTATCGGCAAAAATATTAAATTAAGAAACTGAAAAAATTCCAACATGCGTTACTTAGTGGATACATGCAGATGTTGTTATCGCAGACTGATATCATCTGGAGAAACACTGAAAGTCAAAGAGTCGCTATGTAAACTATCTTTAAATACAATTAATCCCCACAAACCATTTAACCGAAATAATGATAAACACATGTCTTTACATGATACAATTTGAAATGGATAATCAAAGTTTTTGTGAGAAGTCACGATTGGGAGGATCCGGTTGCGGTAAAACTGAGACAGACATTACAGATGGTGCTAGATGGAGGCTACACTCCCTTATGAATCGGTCAAAGTTGTAAATGTGAAGTTTTGGGTTACATTTGAATGCTTTAACGCAGCATATTTGTTACAAGACCTGAAGGTTTCGGGTTAATCCTTGACAAATTTACAGATGGGTTCCGCTTAGTCCCAGGATAAGACAAAACAACTGTTTTGTGTCTGTCTTTTTGTTTTCAATAGTTCTGTGTCTGGTGTTATTTCATGACGAAGAAAACTTTTGAAGTGAGCCGGTCTGCACGAATCAATCACTACAACAATGATGGCTATGTACTTTTTCTTGAAATTGATTTCAGTAGGTCAGCTTTAGATTATAGGCGGTAAGAAGATGACCATGAATAAAGACCTAGATAGCTTTGATGATTACGTAGAGCAAAATAGTAAATAACGATTACATCCTTCTAAAATATACACAATCAGTTCATATTTAGCGATAAGTGTTAGATCTCAACCATAAATCAATCATTATATAATAAGAAGTCAGACTTCTTTTACGGCTGCTAACTGTCAACAATTAAAGACGTCGAATGACGTATGTATCAGTGTCGACACTTAAGCATGAATTTTACTGGGGCTTGTATATTCACACAACTGATACAGATCAAGAAGAATAGAACATGGATCTAAATGATTCCTAATAGTCACATTCAACAAAGCAGTCAGTAGTAAGATTTTCCAGATATTAAAAAAACAGATTTATAGGAGGGGATAATATGATGATATGGAGAACTAATTATTTTATCTAACTTCACTCCTGTTCGGTTCATTTCTAGGTTTTTTCGCCGACTTTCTTTCACGCAGCCGCTAGGAAATAATAATGAATTTAATCCATAATCCAGTATGGCAAACTGTATTCATAAATTAGATACTGGATTACAACTTGGAGTTAGAAACACGCATTCCGTTAACCACAAGAATTTAGTGACTTCTTGTTATGAATTTGAAAAATAAAGTAGGCAGTATGCTAATTTGTTATTGGTTTTTATGTTCGGCATTTTTTTCACGTGAATTATTCACCAATCGAAATACGACTTTTCCGATCTTAACACTGTACCAAATCAATGACGTTCAACGGGTATGAGCAGTCTAGAGTCCTTGTTGGTCCCTTGTCCGCCTAGCCCTTCCAATTGAGTCGAGAACACCAATGGCAGCTTCTGCTATGAGAGTCATTTATTTCAAACAGACTCGGTTTATATACCAAACAGACAGACCGCATCACACCATAAAAGAGAAAATAATATTTGTACAGGATCAAGCCAAATGTGGCTGTGAACGTGGAATACAATAATCAATAAACTGAATATAATTTAGGGACAGTAATTCGTATGATAATAATTTATAGGTCAAAATGAAGCTTATAATAAGATGAATATGTATAGATTAAAACTTATCACTCAATAGTTAAACAATAAGAATATATATAGAATAATCGTCCATTAATAGGTCCCGGAAGTTACCCGTATTTATTTCTTCACTAGGATATATCTTCAAGACGACATTCACTGACAAGGAAGTAGTGATTATAACGTGGAAAGAGTCATTTTGGTCAGAGGAAGTTTTGTGGAGAATTTAGTATTTTTATAGTTGAAATCATGAGTCAATTGAAGCTAGACCACCATCGAAAACCTGAAAGCACTGGACGGCCGTTTCGTCCTACTATGGGACTCCTCAGCAGTGCACATCCACGACCCCGCACTCGCGAGATTCGAACCCAGGACCTAACAGTCTCGAACCAGAGCCCTTAACCGATAGACTGAGGAGTCCCATAATAGGACGAAACGGCCGTCCAGTGCTTCCAGGTTTTTGATGGTGGTCTAGCTTCAATTGCCTCATGATTTCAACTATGAGAATCATTTCGGTTTAAAAAGATAGACAAAGATTTTAATGTAGTTTTTTTATTTCAGTATAAGAAATTTCTATTCATTCTCTTGCCGAAAATACTGTTCCTGATAACGAGGTTTGAGTTTTTAATTATCATTAGATTTATATAGGCTTAGATTAACAAATAATCTGTTTTACATGCAGTGTGAAACATTATAAGTAATTTAAGCATGCGAATTAAGGAAGATGCGACTAGATTTATGATTAAGAACAATAACACTTAAAGAATCTAACGCAAAATCACCGCCGACTTTATATGTATACTTTTAAGATGGAACATGATAGAATAAGTAGTTCTAAATATAGCATTCTACAATTCACGTTAAATATATTATAATCTATTTTAGATTTCGGACTACGTACCCTGAACTAAAACAGTTATATTATATTACATGGGATGCATAAATGTACATACAATACTCCATGTAAGTGTATACAGCTTGAATGTGATTTATTTGATTTCATATAGTATGTGCAACTCATGAAAGTTGGTGGCAACGTGGCATGAAATAAAAGAATTCTTAGGCGTATTGGAAGACCGTCGCTCAAAAGGAAAGACTATTTATGCATCACTGTTTCGCATTCTTATGACTGACATTTACAACTTTATTCAGTCGGTGATATGACACTATCATTTTATATGATGCGTGGCTCTGTAATCACACCCGAAGAGACAAATTATAAGTATATTATAAATCAGCATAAAAATATCATGATAAGTAACACACTATTTACTTTTAAATCTCACAGTTACAACACTTACTTTTAACTTAACTGTTGCTAATTTTATGTGAGAAACTATGGAACGATTTTTGTCAGAATGATGTTCCCCATACGAAACAATTTCTTTTGGAAAACGTAAGAACTGTAAGTTACAATGATACACTGGGTATGCTGTATGACTCATCTTGTGATCGGAGGAATTATGCATTTTTAACAGAAATTCTGTTAAACGACGCCGAGGGCGAGGAAGTTCTGTAAATTAAGTCAGAACGTCAACACATATACTATTTGGAAAAAATTATTCTTGAAATCATATTCAAGGAAATCAAAACTAAGGAACGAACAATAATGGTTTCAACTTAGCTTAAGCCTTTCCTATCTATCTATTTCACCACTCAGAACCGTATTCAGAGACTTTGGATCCTGTGAGAAATTTTATAAGTCGGATTGTGGTTATTTTCTAGAGTCATTATTAAGTATTGGTACTTCTTACGTCATATAATTACTTACCGGAGCATTTTCATTTATACACCAAAAACTCAATTTGAGGATAAAAATTTCTGAAAAAAACAAGTGGGAAGGTGGGAAACTAGTTATGCGTACAATTGCCAGCTAGCTAACCACTACTTGAAATAGTTTTTAATTACTTTCGAAATGAAGTAATTGCCCCCAAATGCCCTGGTACGGCCGAGAGTGGGGAGAGTCCGCTCTCCCTCTCGAAACGCTCTCATATGGCCACGCGAATATGTAGCCTCTGCCAGGGAAGTCCTACTCACTGCCTTCTCGTGGTGTGGGTGTTGTTCACAAAAGTGAGAGGACGAAAAGCGAATGTCCGGCGCTTTAACCGGGTTGGTGGATGTGGAGGATCCACCTAGGGGAGTTGAAAAACCCTGATTCCAAACTAATGGTGCACATGGGCTCCAGTATCCTGAAGGAACGAATGGCGTATGAACCAACTGTTGGTTACCGACTACCATGGGACTGTATCTCCTTACGATGCTCCACTGCCTTGTGGACTAGACCTTTAGGTCAAAGGCTCCGGGTGTGGGCCCCTAAGAAAACCACCTGCTTCAGTCTGGGCAGTATCACAGCCCTCACACAAATCGAATGATTTGTGAGGCGCATATTTATCTGGTGCTTCCTTGTACCAATATTTATGTGTTTAAATAAATAAAAAACTTTCGAAACAGATATACACCAAACATTTAGATTTTTGACATAAGCGTTCCTGATAGTAACCATCACTTCCTCCAATTTCCCATACAATTATCCCTTATTTGAAGGCGGATTAGTGCTTAACGATGAGGTGTTCATGGTAAATGTAGAAACTAAGCAATTCTTTAGAAACGTTTAACGAAGAAATTAGGGATGATTTGGACATGATTTTATTAATCTTAAATACAAGTACTGGTTCAAGTAAAGGTTGCATTAATACCTAGAGCAGGAACTTCATTTTATTGGAAGTTTGAGTTACCCTAGGAAGGTTGTTGACTAAAAAAAGTATATATATAGATAGATTTATCTTACGATAGCGAAACGATATTTATAGTGTGGATGAACCAACTGACTCCCTACCAAGGAGTGAATCTACTGCGAAACAGCGCACCTTTTTATCCCAGAGATTAAACTATTGTTAACGGCAGACAACATGAAATTTAATGCATCTAATTACAAATAGTTTCATAGTACAAATTAATTGTGGTAGAATTATCAAATGAAGCTAGATGAAACGTTTTGTGCATCTAAACATGGAGCCCCTACATACAGCAACGTTCAACCGGCAAACCCATAGCATTGATAAGATGTAATTATACACAAGCATTCGAGGTTAGTCTGATAGGCAAACTATGTTTATCAGTATGAGGTTGTGGAGATTGTTGAGTTTAAGGTTGATATCATGAATCGATCAATGCTAGATCACCAGTGTAAACCTGTTTATGCTATTCTTCAAAAAGAATTAGGTATATTTTCTCTTAAACAATTGATAAAGCCAACCAAATAAATATCAGTATTTCCAAACTTAACTGCATAATAAATAGTACTGTTGATAAGCATTACCTGATAACAACTCTTCAATTTGATTAGATGTCCCCATAGTTACAGAAAATACATCCTTTGGTAGTAAGTTTATGAAACAGTTAGACTGAGATGAGGTTATATGAAGTTTTGAGAGTTCGCGAATTTCTTTTAGAGTAAACGCCACATGTAACGGACCTCTTCGACCAATTAAAGTGACATTCTTAACTTTACTTCTTGACAGACAATCAAGCACAGGTTCTGGTATATCGGTAGACTAAATGTAAATCCATAAATTACAATTTAATTACTTTTAATCGATCAATTGGAGAAAGAAGAATACGTGCGACATCAACTGCTACATTTCCCATACCAATAATAGCAACTGTTTCACAGCTGAGATCAGGAGAAAACTTGTTAAACATAAATTTTTTAAAATGCTGTTTACATTGACATCGCTGGGTACACCATTATACCATCCTACTAAATCTTTAGCAGACAAAACACCTGGCAAATCCTTTATCTGTCATATATCTTAATTGAATATACCTCTCCAGGAATATCCAAACGTCGATCAACAGCAGTACCATAAGCCTTATAAAATAGAAAATTTATTATACTATGACAACCAAATCAAACCCAAATAATGATTGAATAAGCTTCTTGTAATTCTCTCAGTTTAATATCTCTTCCAATGCAAACATTTCCCAAGAAAGAAAATCGCATATTCTTAGCAACCTCTGTAAAAGTATTTATCACATTCTTGTATCAAATAACAGTAAAATAAAAATTAGCCGACAATACTTTTACTTCAGGATGATCTGGAGCAACACCATAACGGACTAGACCAAAAGGAGAAGGAAGTTTTTCAAACATATCGATATGCACACCTGGATGGTTCTACACTTGCTCGTAAGTTAACTTAATCAAACGAATAATTACTTTTAGTAAAGTCTGAGCAGTATAAAATGCTGATGGGCCACTACCAACGATACAAGTTTGAATTTCACTTGAAAATTGTCTTTTTAATAGACGAAAAGGAGACTTAATGACTGAATTAACTTGTTTTAAAGTTCTATAAGATAAAAGTTGGTTTTTACTTAGTCTCATTGAGAAAGAAATGAATTGATTATGAGAAGCGGCTTTCTTTCGTTAACAAGAAATGGATATATTGACTATACTCATCATGTAATCCATCTGAAATAAATAAGAAAAACCGAACAAATTACACAATTAAAGCATAGCTCATTTACAATGTAAAAAATATTGGTTGAAATTTCGGTAAAAGTAAAGATGCATGTTGCACACAGCAACAAGAACTAAATACATGACGTGACTAACAGGTTTCAGAAATTAACTACTAACTAATAAGTCATTACTCCAAACTATGTTCCACTGAGACATTCGACAACTAAGCTATTTCTGACCTCAACTTCCCGATAGTGAATGAGGCTTTTGCTAATCTCTTCTTTCCTGTTCCGCTAGCTATATTAAGAAGTTCAGTTGTGAGGAAGCCTTGTTGATTAAGACAGTAGAAACTCAAAAATGCATTTAAGATAACCAATTATGTGTCGATTACAATTATTATGGTTTAGGAACTAAGTAATTTTCAGTGAACACAAATCGTAGTGAAAAATGTATGGAAAGTCTATGAACAGAATTCATATCAAATAAACCGATGTGAAGACTCATTTTAAGTCGATTTTGACTTTCTTCCTCCCAAGTTGTGTTTGAAGATCCCACATCCTCAAAATCCACCCAATACAGTTGAGTAACCAGGATGTATAGATGACCCTCACAATGTGTGGATTATGGTCTAGTACATAAAAGTGTAAGTAGTTACTGAGTTACATATCCATTCAACTGTTCGAAGACGGAGAGTAATCCTTAAAACTTTTATCATGAGTTTTCCACCTAAAAAGTACAAAAGCCTTTAGAAACATGAAGTTTTGTATTAAGTTATTAAGATAGTTGAGCACATTGAGTGCTTCGCGTCTTTGATAAATTACATCAGTCTCGATAGCTAAGTAAATTTGAGCATGAATACATAATTCCAATCATCCGGTATCAACTTACATTACCTTCATTGTTGGCAAAACTGAATACCTTTTAAGATTTGGATATTATTTGTGAGGAAAAGTGGAACTACATTGTAAATCAAACTGAGTGTGTAGAGTGGAATCTGAAATTGGAACTTTATGATTGAAATTCAAGTCCTCTGACTGATAACCCAATTTACCCGAAAAGGCTAAATATATATAAGAGCAGTATGTTGAATTCTTGAGGAAGAGTTGATGATCTCTGGTGAAAGCATTAGGTGACAAAAACATAGGGGGGTGAGTTGACGAACTAATAAGCCTCAGGGGAATAAGACTGATGAGATTGAGAACTTATATGAACCAAGGTTAGGTTACCGGAAAAGCTCGAACTGAGACAAATTATCAGTTTACAAAGTTAATAACAGCTAACGCACTGAATGCCCCCAAATGCCCTGATACGGCCGAGAGTGGGGAGAATCCGCTCTCCCCCTCGAAATGCCCTCACACGACTACGCGTATATAGCCTCTTCCAGGAAAGCCTTACTCACTGCCTTCTCGCGCCACGGGTGTTGTTTACGAAATTGAGAGGACGAAAAGCGAATGTCCGGCGCTTTAACCGGGTTGGTGGACACGGTGAGCCCACTTAGGGGAGTTGGGAAACCATTCCAAACCAATGGTGCACATGAGCTCCAGGATCCTGGAGGAACAAATGGCGTATGAACCAACTGTTGGTTACCGGCTACCATGGGACTGCATCTCCTCGCGATGCTCCACTTCCTTATGGATTAGACCTTTAGATCCAAGGTTCGGAGTTTGGTCCCCTAAGAAAACCACCTGCTTCGGTCTGGGCACCTAAGCAGTATCACAGCCCTCACACTAATCAAATGAGATTTGTGCGACGCATATGTATGTGGTGCTTCCTTGTACCAATATTTGTGTTTAAATGAATAAATAAAATAACGTACTGAATGCATTTCACGAATCTGGTTTTAGACTGAGTAATCTCACTCAAAGTGAATTTAAACGACACACATGATTAGTTTTCTCCTGATTAATGGAATATCTTACTGATTGATGGATATTAATTCACTTATTTATACTTTAAAATTTTCACTGATTTTATTTTCTAGGCCAGTTCTAACCTATTGTAATTTCTACGAGTGAAGATTTGAATCGACGACCTAATATGCTTAGATTTGTCAAGATACTTTTACACATTATAATTTTCTTTGTTTGACACACGATCTAAATGGCCGTAAAATAAACGACCTATCCATCTTTTCTGAAGTCTTATGACACTTAGATCTGAACCAGTTTCTAAGGTACATATATAAAGCGCAGCTGATACTTAGAAATCACTCTTTAGTACGTACTGGAATAATTCCAAGTTTTAGTATTTAGCAAGACCATATTGATTTTAAAATGGTTGTTGATCCGTGTTGTGATTCAATACAAAAATGAAGTGAGATTTTAGATTTGTCATCAATCCACAGAGATTGTATATAGATACTAGCACTATTTTAAAACTTCTAAAAAGATATGACTGAAGATTGTCCTGAATAATTTTACTAGTTATTTTCCAGCTCCTTACAGAAAACAGACGCCTAAATTCGAAAGCTTACAAAGGGATCGTCATATTCAGTAGCTAAAATGGATAGCCGACATGGGAAAATGAGTAATGGAATACTGTTTATAGCTGGATCAGCTCATTTAGGCCATCAAAACAGATGGCTTGTGGCTTAGTGTAAACATGTGAAATTTGGAAGCAAACCATGAACTTCTAACAGTTAAATTGATAGATTAGATTAAGCGTAACTAACTAAGGTAAATACATCACTGAGGATTATTACATAAGCTACAACAAGCGTGATAACGAGCACATTATTAGCTAAGTTTCAGTTAATCTTCTTGATTTAGCACTAGATGACAATTGATTTTTCCAATGTAAACGCAGCCAAAATCCCTATCTTTACTCTTAATTTATTGTAGTTTGCTTTCTAATTCTAGTAGTGTCAACAATTGAGAAATTCTATTCTTAGGTAACGGATCATTTTAACCGAATTAACTTTAATATTTAAAGTCGACAAAACAAAAAAATAGTGAATGGTATTCAGCAGAAGAAATAATAGCAGTGGTGAATTGACAAAAAAGCTCTCAATTCAAGGTACTACAAAAACTTTGGATTAAAGGTTCGCTTGAATTTACGGCTAACCTGAAATATACAAATAATTGTCTTCATGTACTTCTTTGTGGTAATAAACGGTAAGCATGTAAGAGAAGTAACAAACAATACGTTCTTTGAATTGAGCTTTTGGTCATGTTTATGCGGAGATATTATCCATGTAACTGTACAGTAAGGGTGACTGGTAAAAACATACTTTACGAATGAGTTGTTCCTGATTATTCGTAAAAGATTTTATAAGTGGAAAATTCAACAGCAATATTACAAAGTGAGAACTGATGTTATCTAATTAATAAATCTATTTGTTTTTCCTTACGGTTACTCTACCTATAACGACAAGTTCGTCCCAGTGGATACTGTCTATCTTCTCGAACCCTTTGAAGGGCCTTGATGGATTTCCAAGACTCCCCATATTATTCTTAGTTAGGCTCAGATAATTAGGTTAAGGGTTGGAGTCTTTCAGTTTGAAAAGAACAATATGCTAGGTGGCCTTACTTAGTCCTGGCAACGGTGGTCACTCAGTTGACCAAACTTTCTTTTCAAAGCGTCAATCATGTGTTGAGGTAATGAATTCCATTCGCTGATGATTCGATAGGAAAGTCAGTAGTCAGATGACAAGTAATTGGTTCTGAGCTTGCGAATTTTTTAAATGTCCTCTTAAATCCTGTTTTGGAAGACAAAAGTGAGGGCATACCAGACGCAAATTTATCACTCAGTAATTTGAAAGCCGTGGTCAAGTCACCTTTGGTTCTTTTATCTGACAATGGAAGTAGGTTTAGTTTAGCCAGTCGAGCATCATACGGGAGCTTTGCTATTCCGGGAGCCAGCTTAGTTGCTGTTCTGTGAACCTCCTCCAACAGCTCAGTCTCTTTTTAGGCAGGGGCTAACTGCTTGTATGTAGTACTCCAGATTAGTACGAACGAATATTATTTTAGCATCGACATGGCTGAAGCCCCCTACGTATTGACCATAGGATTCTAAAACGTTTGACGGCTATCGCACGATAGTGTGTGGTAGTTTTTTAATTTTTGGCTAACGATGACTCCTAAGTCATTGTCTGGACAACAGGTAGCTCACTGTTATCCATCGTGTATGTATCTATACCTTGGTGACCACTACGTATCATGATGCACATGAAAACATTTTTCGGCCGCTGACAAATTTTAGACCATTCATATGATGTCTTCAGATCATTTTGAAGCGCCAAGCTATCACCTTTACTTCTTATCACTCTCCATACCTTGACATTGTCAGTATATAACAAGACGGATGATAATAGGAGACTAGGAAGGTCATTTACACACAGAAACAACAGTGGTCCCAAAACTTTACCGAGGCACTCTGCTAAGCTCATTTTCCCAGGTTGACAACATTGAGTTCACCCGTATTTTTTGTTGACCCCCAACTAGGAAATCTCATATCCATATTGATAAATAGCCTCCAACCTCGATATTATTGAACTTATATAACAGCCAGTTGTGAGGAACATTGTCAAAAGCCTTGCTGAAGTCAATATAGACTATATCTATAGGTGAGCGTACCAACTTTCACAGGCTACGAATGAGTTAGCGAGACATGAATAACCTGTTCTAAAGCCTTGATACTTTTCAAAAAGTGTCCGGTTTTTATCAAGAAACTTGGACAATCCCTTCTGAATAATCTTTTATAAAGTTTTAACAATCACGTTGGTTAGGCTTACTGGTTGACAGTCCTCAGGTTTATGTTTCGTACCTGTTTTGAAGACAGGACTTACTATGGCATTCTTCCAGCCTTTTAGCAATCGACTCTGAGATACAAATAGATTAAAACATACGCTTAAGGGATTTGCGAGAAAATTAACTGATTCCTTTGGTAACCTAGGATGTGCTTTATCAGGAACAGTAATCTCCCTACGTCAAGCTCGTTTAGCGAACGAAAGACATCAAGTTCTTCGATGGTCACAATGTTCAAGGTGTGTATAGAGGGATTTGTATGGACCGAAGGGGAGGGCATCCCCCCGGTATATGCATCGCCAAATTAATTTGAGAATACCTGAACTTTACTATAATTGTCATCCGCTAGTGATGCAGGACGACTGACATCCTATAATGCTGGAATATTTTTCCTTCTTATGGTCCTTTGGTTTATGTACGAGTATAAGAGTTTAGGATGTTACGTAGATTCCTTATTAAGTTTTCCATTGTGCAACTTTGTAGACATGCGGAGGGTCGAGGTATAAATATTTTGAGCTTCCTAATATTGAGATTTTGTCTTGTCAGTAGCCACATTCTTCTCCTCTTATTGAGAAAGGTGCAAATCTCTTTACTGAACCATGGTGGTGAGTTTCCCGGACCCCTTAGTGTAGTCCAAGGGAAATGTGGTGCACTGACTTTTATGTACGAATTTCTGGATACGTTTCAAGCCGTTTCATTGAGGGAGTGTGATTCTTATGACCAAGCTAGTCAACTAGTTTCTGTTCGAAAGAATTTCCTGACGTTTCAGTTCTTAGATTTCTCCAGCCTACCGTAGCTGTATTAAAAGCTCCTGTGATTAAACACCGACCACTTGATGACTAAGTGTTGAAACCGTCTAGCAAGACCTTAATCACCTAACAGTTTTAACTGAAGCAGACCAAACCAATTGGCGGCTCTTGTCTTTTACACTTCAAGTGGCAACTAACTAACAAGCACGTCCCACTTTCATAGGATATGTTATCAACAACAGCGAATGGGATAGTATTTCTAATGAATGGAGCTACTACTATTCCTCTACGCTTCTTGATCCTGTCGGTTCTAATGTGAGACTTTCAAAATAAAGTTCCTTACTGTCCATAGACTGTAGCAGCCAAGTTTCTGTGACTGCGACTATACTCGTCTTGGTAGTCTATCTGTAGATCTGAGTCAGGGATTTGCATAACAGATCCGAATGGCTCCATAATGCACTCAAAGTAACTTCGGTATCATTCTGAAATTTTAAAATTTTAAGGTCCTTCTAGCCACCATCTAACGTTAGTTTAACTTCTTTTTCAGCTTCTCAACTTTGTATACGGTCCGCGAGCGACGATTCTTTGCGGAAAAAATAATCCTGATCTCTTCAGTTTATGTCCATTTCGTAGTAATAAGTCTCTTTCACTACTGCTTTTTAGCAGCTTGGTTTAATTCACTTTCAAGTCCATATGGCTACCCAGTTTATAAACCATTAATAAGGTGACTTCAGAGATATCCTGAGGCATTAGCTGGTTTAGCACATATTTGATCAGCTCAATGCTATGCTGAAAACGAGTTCCGGGTTCTGATCTTTCACTTTCCTTGAAACTGTGAAAGACAACTAACATATTACTATGATCAGTTTTCAATTTCTCAGCTGCTGTTTGGGGGAGAGACTTTTCTCTAGCAACATTAAGTCGTTCCTTATTTTCTATCTGTACCCATTCATTAACTTTCATTGGAGTAGCAATCACAGTCGCGTTACACGTATTGTAGTATTCTGGTCGATTATCGATAACTTGGGTGGTTAGGTTGTCGTTTTTCTCGCTAGAAACAGACCCAGCATCGAGACTAGGTCTCTAAGTGTTTTCTGCTCGCTCCCATTTGGAAGGCGGGTGGGGGCGGAGGAACTTCTTTTTTTGAGATCTCATTTCTAACGGACCTCTTCATAGGCCGTCCTTGCGAAACGTTGACCCATGTAAGTCAGCTGACTCTGAGCTTATTTGAGGTGACTTTACATTAATTTGTAAATCGACCAAGAGGGTACCACTAGATGTGTCTTGGCTACCATTATTAATACTCTTTTCAGCAGCATTAACCATAGCAATGGCTTCGGGTAATAAATTCGCGTCCGAACAGCATTGCTGACAAAACCACATGCAAATATTTTAACTAAACCCTTTGAAAGCCACAAGGTTAGATTCGTGCAAACCATCCTTTGCACTCATCGCACAACATGCCGGCTTTCACAGGGTATAGACAACCTGAGTGTTGAAAATTGCTCTTTTACACTGTCTAGTTACCAGAGATTTTGAAAAGGATATTAGACACAGACAATACCCAGAGACAAAATAAAGTGATCATTGTAAAAAATTGAAGGACTAAATTATTAGAACCAAGGGTGCAAACGAACACAAGAACTAATGTACTCAAAAGTACAGTTGGTAAATTACTTGAGAAAAAACGGTACTTTGGTGGATTGCTTTAAATAAAACAAACTCAATTAAAACATAAACAGTAGTCTTGTTGTATGATAAAAGGTCAGAACAATAAAACTAACTCAGCGAGGGAAAATACCAATGTCGTTTTCAAATAGCGCGCGTGGTAATACGATATGACTTCAGCTATGACATGAACTGATAAGTAGTCATGCTGACTTATGAACTTTACGCGATAATACGGAGGAGACTCTAGAACTAGCTTATCCACAACATTTAGGACCACCATAGTAAACTTTGTTTCAAGAGTAAAAGTCAGGACTTGAGGGTCTAGTGGACTATATATAATCGGACATATACAGTCTCCAAGGGGAGAATTAAGTGTTTGTAGCGCTAAACACCATTATTTTCATTCCATGATATCAATATATAGTTCTCCGTTTTCTTCAAACGTTTTAAGCAGTATACAGGGGTGATTTTACTGTTCATCAAATTGTAGCGATTCACGTCCCATCCGAAGGTACTTCGATACTAAGAGAACGTGCAGGGTGGCCCATGAGCAGAGCTGGGAAGAAAAAGTAGTTGAAAACCCATCAGTGGCACAAAATTCACTTAGTAAAGAAAGCGACAGACAACAATTAGCAGTAATACAGGCCAAAAGTCATGACAATCTGAAAATCAGGACTAGAAGTAGGTGGAAAATTATCTTAAACACATCACATAACATAGAACCCTGGTTTTGTGCAGCGGTCTAATTATCATGTCTCCAATTTCGACCAACTTATCCCTAAAGTGAGCCCTCACCTCTTGTACAGTCATAAGTTCAAATGGTTCAAATGGTTGAGGACGGAATAGAAGAAGCTTTCGCTTAACGGGCTTCCGTGTCTGGTAGCAGTGGATCACCAATACCTCCAGGCAAGAACCTAGGTATATGAACGATAATAGAGGGAAAAAAAGAGTTTGGTAAATCATAATAATATGTTATCCTTAGTCCTTAAGAATAAGTCAAGTTTTCTCTTAAAGTTGAAAAACCGCGCCGAGTTTCAGTTTCAGTTTCAGTTTGGAAGGGACAGGAGGCTTGATGGCCTGTGTTAGTCCTGGCAATGATGGTCACTCAGCTGATCCAACTTACTTTTGAAGGAGTCGACGGATGGAGCCTCAACCACGTGCTGAGGTAATGAATTCTACTCGTTGATTATTCGATGGGAAAGTCGGTAGTCAGCTGACAAGTAATTCGTTCGGGGCTTGTGAACTTTTTTGGAATGTCCTCGTAGATTTTCTGTTTTGGAAGACAAGAAAAATGAGGGCATATCAGGTGCAAATTTGTCATTAAGCAATTTGAAAACTATAATCAAGTCACCTCTGATTCTTCTATATGACAACGGGAATAGGTTTAGCTTGGTCAGTCTAGTACCATACGGGAGCTTCGCTATTCCGGGAATCAGCCTGGTTGCTGTTCTCTGAACCCTTTCCAAGAGTTCACTGTCTTTTTTAGGCAACTCGCGCAGAGTATCTATTTTGCAAATCGAACCTGCTGAATTCGAACTTTCTGAGGTCTAGCTTATTTCGATATCAATCCGAAAGTAAAGTATAGTCGCATTATAGAAAAATGTAGTAAATAATATTATTTCATCTGACACCAGATCACTGATGATTCCCAATTGATGAAATTACATAACTTGTTATTTTAAAACAATAGGGGAATGAGCAGTAGATAGTCGGCTAAACCGTAACTTGAAAATTCGTCCCTTGTTATCTCCTCAAAACGTGGTCTCGGGATTGCAAACATAGAGAACTCAAACACCAGATCAAAAATTTGTGAGATTTAGAAAAACAAAAACAACTTACTCTTTTACGCAAAGACAACATGATGCAACCATTCCTGATTTGTTCTGATCAATATTTAAAACGTACGTACGTAGCCCCTTTGAAATCCACAGTTTCGTTGCGATTGTTGAGCTTACAGCATATTAAGTAATCCAAGCTGTCACAACGTGACCAAATTAACAAAATATTATCACTTCGCTCATCGTGGCAACCATCGGAAAGTTGCACACCAAAGAACGAACATTCATGTACGCTCTCACATTTCTCGGTAAGAGTTGTCCTTATTATGAGTGTTCTCTCAGCCGAAGTGACCACAGCCTCATTAGTGAACAGATTTGAGAGGAGACATATACTCACTCACAAATTACCTCTGTTGTGTTTGTTACTTATGCCGGCGAATATAAGTAGTTTGTGATGGCAATAAAGCATTTAATGTATGATTTTAGGTTTTTATCAAGGCACTGTCCAAGTTGCGTGAAACAATATATTGGTTTTTCTCACCAAGTTTCTGTTCATTAGATCATCTACCTTTTGGACCAGCTGTATCGGGTGCATGTCTCATGAATTACTACGGTTATATTTACTGAAAACCAGTAATGACTTCCTATGTCTCTTGTTATCGTCTCTGTTTCCCTCCAATTCTTTTAATTCTGTCCTTTTTACACATTATCACTTAAGTAAATTATTTATTTTCGCTTGACACAATCAATGAATGATTTTTACATTGCAACCAAGCAACCTCCTGTCCGGTAATGTGATAGCTATTCGTATCTATAAGTCCTACTGCTCTGAAACAAACGCTCACACTCAACTACAAGACATAAAAATCTGCGAACAACTACCAAACTGACTAGAATTAGTACAGTCTAATGACTAGACTACCATTCGTTGGGCATTATCAAGAACTTTAATTCGTTCCGAAACAACAAGAAGAAGGCCCAAAGAAGTCAACCAGATAATATAAGCTGGAGACAAAGATATTAGACATTGGATCTTACGGATGTGCATGTTGGAATTCATGTGTTTTATGTGAGTAAGCACTATTGATCTCATTGCTCTACACAAGTCTATCGCAATATCTATGTGCTGTTACCGATCTCGCTAATATACTTAGGGTTTTCAGTTCAGTCGCTACCTTTAACATGAGTCATGTGTCTGGAAATTTATCAAAAGTTCACTTATGTTGAGAAATCAACTAACGACTGAAACATCAGACTGGCAGTATAAATTCAACTCATTGATGCAGCACTCTAATATTAAGTACTATACGACCTTAAAAAGACCTAAAGATTTTAAGTTTGTTTCTCATATCTTTTCCACAGTCCATCATATTTATAACGAGCTGTTGAAAAACAGTGAATTTCTTTGCATTCACTTCCTGATACTGGGGTACCGTCCTGTCTTCAATATCCTCTTAATTTAGTAGTTTGGTCGCTCGACTGCATTAGTCCTAGTATGTTTGACAGATATTTCAATGCCAGTAAAATTGAACGCTTCTGTTATAGAGCGATGTAGTTGCTAGAACCTTCAGCCACTAAATCATGCGGCATTCGACTGGTTAATTGCAATATGAAAGATTTTAGGATTGGAATTGTAAGGAGATCAAGAATAATAAAAATTTTAGTTAGAAATCTACCTTTTCTAATTTATTTACGAAGAGGGCATGTTGAAAAAGTCAAATGATTGGTGGTCATTGAATATGGAGTGCGTCTGACTTTTCTGGATCTATAAGTTTTTCCAGGCTTCACATGCTGAGAGTGGTCAGGAGTCCGAAACTTTCCTTCCCCAGATATTTGTTAGGCTTCGTGCAAAGTCTCATTCTGCCTATATGTTGCCTAGGTTCACCAAGATTCTGTTCTTGCATAACCCTGTTCGTATTAAAAAAAGAGCGACTGGACTGTAACAGGCTAGATTTCTCCTATCCTCATATTTAAAGGTTGAAAAGATAGCACATTTTCTCGTCCTTTCGAAAGTTGTTCTGACACCTGTACTTACCTACTTACTTCTGTAACCCATCACGGAGGAGCATGGCCGCCCACCAGTATTCTTCATCGAACTTCGTCCTGCATAACACTTTCCAATTGTTTTCTCTTGCTATTCATTCTTCTGACGTTTGCCTCCAATGCGTGATGCTTTGTGTCGCTTGCTTTCCCACTCTTCCGTGTTCCTTCAGGATTTCAAGTTGGTGCTTGCCTCGTGATTCTATCAGATAATTTCCGTTACGTATGTCCTATCCACCCCCAACGTTTTCCCCTTATTTCCTTCTTGTTCTGTGCCACGGCAGGTTGTTGCTGATGATATCTGGACAATGGACATTGAATATATTTGTGTAGATAACTGTTTATAAATATTTGTACTTCTCTGGTTGTGGTTGTAGTAGTTCTCAAAGTTTCAGCCCTGTACAGTAAAAGTGTCTTGAAATTCGCATTGAAGATTCTGATTCTGATGTTGGCTGACAGTTTTCTGAGTTTCATATATTCTCCAGCTGTAGGAATCCCCCCCCTATGCTTTGCCAATCCTTGCCCTAATATTTTCACCGGATTCTACTTGTCCATCGGTGACGCTTCCCAGATAATTTGAAATTTCCACCTCTTGCAGAGTTTTTCCACCAAGTGTGACTAGGTTGGTTCTCGACGTGTTGTGTTTCAGGGTTTTGGTTATTCTCTTGTGTATGTTTAGGCCTACTGCTGTGGGGGCTTCTGCTACATTGGCTGTCTTCACCTACACCTGTTCATGTGTCTGTGGTAGAAGAGCCAGGTCATCCGCTGAGTTCAAATCGTCTAGCCGCATGTGAGCTCTCTATTTTATTCCGTGCTTCCCTCCAGATGTCGAGGTCCTCATAATCCAGACAACCACCAGAAGAAGGAGAAAAGACGAAGGCAATTATGCTTGCCTAACACCAGTCCTCATTTGGGGTGCATCTGTCAACTGTTCTCCATCTACGACTTTGCAATGTAGTCCACCGTACAAATTCCGCGCGATCCTGACGCTCTCCCTAGGGGCACTATAGTGTCGAGGGAGGTTCCAGAAGGTTATCAAACACGTTCTTGTGGTCCAGGAAGTTGAAACACAGTGACTAGTTCCATTAACTTGATCGTACAACAACAACAACCTGTAATGTCATGAATTGGTCTGTGAACGACCGATTCTAACGGAATCCAGTTTGTTGATCTCAAAATTGGGCGCTTTCTAAATCTTCTGCCTGGTTCAGCAACACTGTTGAAAACTCCTCCTCGTACCGTCAGTAGTGTGATGCTCCTGTAGTTAGTTCCAGGACCTCCTAACACACAGAAGTTAATGCTTCTTTAATCCCTTCAATTTTCCCCCATAATGGTCTCTACTTTGAGTAGGTACTGTAAGGCTTGAAGTTGTTGTTGAGAGGCATCTTGAATTCGTTGAGTTTATCAGTGTGTCCAAGCAAGGCTGTATTGAACCTTTGTAATGCTGTTTCCAC